CCCCCGCCCCCGCCCCCGCTCCAGCCGCCGTCACCCCCGACCCGCATCTGCTGCCCCAGCTGGTCGATACAAGGAATGTACGCGGACGTATCGTGCAGGTAGGCTCGACACGTTAAATGTTCTCGATATCACTTTCAATTTACATGAAAATCATATTGGATTTTTTTATGTGTGATAAATTAGCAAACGAACAAACTACAAAATATGTTAAACACTTGTAATACAAATAATATTTAATTTGACTATGTATTCCAGTTGTCCGCGGGATGGCATCACTCGTGCATACTTGACCACACGGGCGCTGTTTATACGTGGGGCTTGAACTTTGACGGACAATTAGGTATCTAATTTTATAGTCGAGTTCTTCATTTAAAATACTACTAGAAATAAGAATAAATTTATATTTTTTCTTTTTTTCCAGGCAGCGGCAATCGAAAGCAAGTTGTGATACCTACGGAAGTGAAAACCCGTCCGGAGGCTCAGCCTGACAATAATAAGAGCAGCCGGACACCGGACACTGATGATGGCAATGTCACCAAAGCGCTGGTGGCATGCGGTGGTGACTTTACCATATACATTGATGATGATGTCAGGATCTACGCGACCGGCAATATGAGCAAACATGTAAGTAACATTAAATTATTCAAACTTTCGTGAGACATTATATTAAACTGATATATAAACTAGTCGGTGCCGCCACCGTACGTATATACGTGAGTGTTTAGCCGTGTTTATATATCATGTAAGTAACATGTGCGTTCTTCCAGACTATAGTCTAGATCCATGCCAAATTTCAGTGAGATCCATGCTGCCGTTCTGGAGACACCTTCTAACATCCATCAATCCATACATCCAAACATTCGCATTTATAATATTAGTAAGATTATTTTTTACTGTTCAAAATAAATAAATAAAATAAGTATATAATTCATAGGTTAGTCAATAAAACTAAAATATTCTTCAATCATTTAACACTTTCCATGCCACTATGGTATTATCGTATGAAAGTGAACTCGTAAGACTGTGGCAGTGAGCATGTCAAAATGTCATAAAATCTTTTAGCTTAAAATGAACTTAATAAAATTTAACTTTTCAGGTGAATAACGAGAAACCGAACAATCGTGTTATAATGATGAAGACAACGAAACGGGTCATAAAGATCCCCGCGAGCCGCAACAGCAACAAGTTCCTGTTCCAGCCGCTGGACCGCCTCGATATCATGTTCCCCTTCGACGTTGATGTATTGCGCCGCAAACCCATTGAACCCGTACCCAATCCATTACTCAACATCAATGACTTCAAGAAGAAATCCTGGCCTGATGATATTATACTTCTCCTCCAACCCTGGATCAATCAGCAAGTGTTGGTAGACAACCCAAATATGGCTGCCAAATTCTCTTATCATAGCAAAATGTACTCAAACTGTCTCGATATGTTACTAAAGTCTTTGAAACATGTTATACCGAACGATCAACTTTACATCACCCATCAGAATGAAGAAATAAGTGCCATAAAAAAGGATGAAATGAAGATTTTAATAACTAACACAATATCTAAAAGAATCAAGGATATATCGATGTCTATATTAAATGAAGAAGTGTTTCCTGTCATGGAAAATAATATTTATCAAGCTTTACCTTGTTGTTGTGATGAATCCAGTTATTTTAAAACGATACAACAAAATGTAACACAAAATGAGAATAATATTTCAGTTAAAGCTGCAGATGTTATAGACAAATGTATAAGTATTTTTCCAATCGATAATGAACTATGGGAAGTTTGTTTTCGTATATCAAAAGATTTTTATATAGATAATGATTTATCTATTCAAGAATTTGAGAAAGTATTGGTCAAATATATGGAATCTCATCCTCCAACAATGGCCGCTGCGTTGATGTACTCAAATGATTGTATGCAATACAGCAAAATATTCACACCAAAATTCTATTTGAATATGTGCAGTCAAGTACTCGATTCTTGGGGTTGAATTGATTATATGAGAAATTTCGTTTGATCAAAATTAACGTACAATCGAGGACATTTTTTCCCTACCCATTTCGGTAAAATTTCTTATACGCTCAATGTAGATCGACCAACTTTTCTGGCCCGGTGAGCATAAATGACACTAAATTAAAATAGCAGGACAGCGCCATCTTGTCAACGTAAAACAAATTGTCATAAAACTCGTCATTGCTGTTTTGTCATTTTTTTATCAAATTATTTTTTAATTTAACCTAATCTGTCTCATCAGGCCAGATATATTTGTCGATCTATAGGTCGAAAACCTTCATAGTAATATATAAAGGTATCAAATTATAGCTGTTAAGGTGCCATTTTGTATTCGCTTGACTTGGGAAGCAAATTTCATTATTTGTATGTCAATATATGTATTGATCCATTAATCCATTAAAATTATTCTTGCGAATTTAGTAGAGAACTTAACAAGAGGTAATGTAGACTCTTCATTATATTTACCTTGAATAATAATTGCCTACGTAGTTAAGATTGAATACAGGGCGTCTTGTAGTAGATATTAGAACTAAATGTTTGTATTGGAATTGACTTCTCTAAGCGTGGGTTTCCACTGCCCTAACTACTGTATAATTATGTATATTGTCCCTGTTTTTACGAACAGAATGAAAGGGATAATATTACCTACAGATATTTAGTGGAAATACACAATCATATTAGTCTGTAAGACAATGTATTCAGTATTTAAATATATTTTACATAATGCAATGTAAATAGTAGGAGACTTTATTCTCGTATCAACGTGTATTTTATATATAAACAACTCAATTGATATCTGAATTTCATCTGTTAAACGTAAATCGTCTGATTGTAAACAAAAAGATCTGTTATAATTTGACATATGATTGCAAAACGCAACAAAACAAACTCATGTTGTGGGCGTCGCCGACGTTTATGTAGATTTAGTACCGACAAGTAAGTTTTGAGTTATCTAGGTTGATATATATTGAATGTATGTTACATACCTAGTACTTATTTTGTAGATTATATATCTATTTTACAATTTGTCGATTCTTCAAGCGGGAAAGTTGTCCTCCTCTCTTTTGGCGACGCCCAAGTATGCAACATTTTGATTTGTAGCGATGAATAACCTATATTACATTGTTTTGAAGACAATTTTTTTTTACAAGTTGACACAATGTGCTTATAGACAGTCAAACTTGTCTGACCCGGTGGGTATAAGTGAAAATATCAATGTTAAAAAAAATGTTTGTCGCATTGTAGCTGTCACGTATGTCATTTTCAGCATATTCTCATAACAGCGTCACTCACCGGGCCAGATAAATTCGTAGCACTATAATAATTTTTTTTTTGTGTAGGATGTTACTGATGTATGTAAACACAACTTCTGTACCCTGCCATGATTTGAACAAATAATGGAAGTTTTGTTTTTTAATTAGGTTCTCTTGCCAATAGTTATATAAGATCAACGTTTTTTTGTTTTAGTTGAATATATCTAACTTTAATGTTATTAGCACATTTTACAATTTTGTCTCGTTATTTTTTATGCCGATTTTCTATTAAGAATGATAGTTAATGAAACTGGTTGCTATTTTTTATTCTTTGTTAACATGTTTTTTGTTCTAGTCAATAGCTTTAGATTATTTTGTTATACAACTAACCCGAATTTATTTTCTCTCTATTCTTACTATTTGTATAATCTACAAAGCATTATATTATATACAATCTTTTAGATCGAAATATGTTTTTAATCTGTGATTTGTTTGCAGCTAACTAAACGCTTTACGTGTATTTTATGTAATTAGTATTATAAGTGTCAATTTTACTTAATAAACGTTTTTTTTAATAAACATGTTTCTTTTCCAAGGTAATTGAAGACTAAAAACTAAAACTTTTCTTGAAAAAACAAAGGCACAATGTGTTTCGAGTATTTCATGGTTATATAACGAGAATAATTATTTTTTTCTTTCAAAGCGCAGGTAACTTACACAGATTAAATAAAAAACCTGTCAGTTTAACATATCATTTATTTTTATAACTTATGTACAACAGAAATTAAATACAACAATATACAATGCAGTAAACTGCAAGACGTTTTGAACTTGTGTGGCGAATCTTTGAATACCAAATAATGAGTTATTTGGAATTATTGTTTAATAAATAATGGACAAAATAAATCGGTGACTGTAATACGGTTACTAAATAAATTAAAATTTTTATTCACATCAGATTCAGACAAGATTCCTAAATATGTCACACTACGACCGGCTTGTAATATGGCGTGGTGTCATCACATGACCTCATTTTAGAAGTTTATCGGTTTCCCGAAGTACGCGGCCAAGTTTGCTTCACGGAGCGCCTCTGCACAAGTCTGTAAAAAAAGTAATAATTTATTAATTTCTCAATTTTTTTAGCATTATTGTACACGGATTAAACATCGTCGTTAGCTCACTATACGCCCCCACTGAGGGGTTCCAAGCCTACACTAAGTCAGGGGGTGAGTTTAAATTTTTCTCATATGTGCAGATTGCATTATGATCTTTTCTTTCACCGTAAGAACGTCGGATAAATGTATATATGTAAATCGAAAATCACATTGGTACATGACGGGATTCGAACCCAGGACTTGCAGATTACAAATGAACCCCTGAGCCATCGACGCTCTCATACAAAATATGTTATTTATTCAGTTGGTTCCGGTTGTTAGAAAGAAATAGGTACAAAAATATATACTAACTGGATGCGCGTGACAGACGCGGGCGACATCTTCAGCTGCGGCGCCGTACTCCTGCGCTAACACCGCTTCGTTGATCAGCTCGCCGCCGCCCTGCGCATGCGCAACATTTACAATCAAGTTCTTAAAACGATGGATGTATGTTTATTTGAAGGTATCTCTCTGGAACACTGCATGGATCTCTATGAAATTTTGTATACATGTAGAACATAGTCTGGCAGGACATATAGGCTACTAGGCTACTAATTAAGTTTTTTTTTAATTCCGTCCACGCTATATTAAAAAAAAAGCTAAATAAAAAATAACTAAAGTCAAGTGCAACTGCTGATCATAAAGAAATATAAAATATCATACGGGTCCGATGATGTGTGTGCCGAGGATGACGTCGGTGGCCTTGTCAGCGAGCACTTTGACGAAGCCGTCGGGCTCGCCGTTTGTCTTCGCGCGAGAGTTCGCCAGGAAGGGGAACTTGCCCACTTTGTACGCCCTGCCCTGTCATCAACAAAACAATATTATATATTATCGTCCAAAAAACATAGATTTGTAAAAAATAGATAGGCGACATTCCATTTATCTACATATACAAAAATTAAAAAAAATTACACTACAGGATCTAGGTTAAGTTAATATGATCTTGTTCGAAGTTGATTTACATTTTCAATTCTCAAGAGGGAGTAGGAGGTGGGGTGGCTGCCTTCTCCTCCCCCTAGCGACCCCCATGATGAGTTTGTTTGCACGTAAATATTTTTCTCATATGTTACCTCTTTCTTAAGATCCTCCTCAGATTTTCCGACCCAGCCCACTTCAGGCGATGTGTAGATAACTGATGGAATGGCGTCGTAGTTGAAGTGTACCGGCATGCCCTGAAAATTAATTATTATAATTTCATTCAAAAAATATATTAAATTCAAATATTTAAGTGCCACTTTTTTGTTTGGAAAATTACTAACACAAATTGAAGAGTTTAGTTTTTTCTTCTTGTCCTTTTTCTTTATTTATAAATACATATTTTTTTATTCGTACCTTAATTCCTTCAACGCACACAATGCCTTCATCCTCAGCTTTGTGAGCCAACATGGGGCCGTGGATGCAGTCGCCGATTGCGTAAATTCTACAAAAAAAAAAAAGTTGAAAATACTTTAATTTCATATATAATAGTATGTTTAATCAAGACTCATTTTATAATATTATATTAAGAAACATGAACAGTTTGAAAGAAACCTATTCAGTCAGTACAGGCATAGCGACTACATATGAAATATATAAATTTGCTCCGGATCTTGAAAGTGGAAGTGATCTTTTTAACGAAGATCTTGGCAGACAGGTTTTTTTTTCAGGCGACCAAAATCTCTTTTCGAAGATTTTACGTAACATCCTGTTCAAGCCTTAGTGGGCACTTAGTAATGTCTATGAGATAGTTACCCGGGAATGGTGGTCTGGAATTTGTTATTGACAGGCACACGGCCGCGGTCGTCCAGCGCGATGCCCACCTTCTCCAAGCCCAGACCCTTCGTGTAGGGTCGTCGACCGATAGATATCAGCACCACGTCGCAATCCAACTGACAAACAAAATATCTTTTATATAACCTTAACTAACTTATAATTTATATAACTGTTTAAGGAGGTTTAACAATTTTAGCTAGAAATTTACATTTTTGAAATTAGTAATTTCGGAGTAGTTTCTATGTCTTTTTAAGAATAAGAATAAATTTATTTCACAAAAACACGTTAGAATAATATACAGTGAAGTATCTTGCAGACCCCGAACTAGGCTGAGCCTGTATCTCGGGGCCTAGGAGTGCACTAGCCATGAACAAAATAACAGTACGTACAATTTTTGCTATTCAAGTTCTACTTTTTTATTTAAACTCTGTACACTAACCTTAATTTTAAAAATAAACAAAACTATGGCTCTAATATATTAAATAGTAAAATCAATAGAATTTCTATTTTCTATTTCTATAAATTACAATATGTTTATGCGAATCATTTTTAAATTCAATATATTTTGTTGTAATGTTAAGTAAACTAATTGTCCTCAATAATTAAAATGCTACACAAAGACGTATATCACGTAGACGAAGTCGCGTGAGCAGCTAGTCATTGCATAAAATTTTCAGTAAAAATGTCATCGTAAGAATTCAAATAAGATTTCTATACTCTTAAAATAATATGACCTCAATTTCATATTTGTTGTTTATGTCAAGTAAGATAACCTGATAACATTCAACCTTAACCTCAAATCTTCCGTGAAACATATATGCATCTAATATCAATCAGTCAATTAATATTTAACGGCTAAACTGAGTGTTACCTTAACGACTATGCGTGTTACAGTTATACGTAAAATTACCGTTTCCTTATTTCCACCTTTAGCCGCCTCTACATCAACCTTGACACCGCTACCTTCCTTCCTGACACCCATTACTTTAGTGCCGAGCTTGAACTTCATACCTTCTTTGACGAGGATTTTCTGTAACGTTTTAGACACTTCTCCGTCAATGCCCACACCTGGAACAATGTCCATTATAGAACTTAGTATTTATCATATTAGGTTTAGATGGATGGAAGAAGTCTGCGGAATTTCTAAACAGACCTTGATGAAATTAGGCAAAAAAGTAGAACATTGTCTGGAAGAAGACATAAGGTACTTATTAAGTTATTCCTCGCGGGCATAGTCTCGGGCTACAGCTAGTTATATTGGTAATTCTGTTGTAAATATTTTTTTTTAATAAGACCGATGATTAATGTACATTTTTTGTTTTGTACTATATTAAAAAGATATGTGAGAGCACACATTCACTGATTTACGATACTTTATCTTGATAAGAGATTATATTTAAATTGCAGATATGAATAGAAATAAGAAATATAATTCATACATAAAACATAGCATACATATTATGTAAATGTTATAAAACAAACAAATAAATAACTAAATGTAAATGTTTGGATGGATGGATGTTTGTTTAAAGGTATGTACAGAACAGCTGCATGGATCTCGTTGAAATTCCGTACAGATGTAGAACATAGTCTGGAAGAATACAGAGGCTACTAATTAAGTTTTTTTCTTTTAATTTGTCGCGGACAGATTCGCGGTCAACAGCTAGTAATATTATAATATAAAATTAGCTGTCATGAGCCAAGTCATTATTTTTATGACTATTCATCTGTTAAGTTGATATTTACCTATCTTTAGAACAAATGTATTTGTTCATTGAAATAAATGCAAATTAAGCACATTAATATTACATTTTATACAAAAAATTTTATACTGAGAGTTTTTATTACCTCCGATAGATTCAAGGAACTCTACCGCAACAACTTCAGCACCAAGTCTTTGATAAACTGAACCCAGCTCAAGGCCAATGACTCCGGCACCAATCACCAACATTTTCTTAGGTACTGATGGCAGAGAGAGTGCTCCCGTTGATGTTATGATTTGTTTCTCGTCAAACTGCAAATTATTTATTGGTTTAAACATCTTACTAATATTATAAATACGAATGTTTAAATGGGTGGATAGATGGATGGGTGTTTGAAGGTATCTCCGGAACGGCTGCATGGATCTCGCTGAAATTTTGTATAGATGTAGAACATACTCTGGAAAAATACGTAGGCTACTTATTCAGTTTGTTTTTATTATCGCATAGGAGTCGCGGGCGTCAGCTAGTTTTAAATATAGGCAAATATGGATAAGTGAGAAAGCAATAGTAATTGTTCAGTCCGACAGACAACCTCCGAAAGCGAGAAACTAGGGTTGGAAGATACCTTTATAAGCGAGAAATATTGCTGTCACTTCCAGGTTCGACCATACATTTGGATTCAAATAAGACAATGTAGTATAAGTAGACAGCATCTTAATAAGTAAGGTGAGGAAGCAAATTCTACAATTTTGAGGACAGTATCTAATACTTTATATTCTAAAAATCTCATTAAACAGCCTGCATTTTAATAAAAATCTAGTCACAACCTTCCATTTCAGTACAACAACAAAATTAACAGTAAATGAATAAAATGAATGTTACTTATATAAATCTTTAGTGATGTGGTAATGTGTTTATGGATATCATAATTGAAAATAATTTTTCACAACATTTTTGCAACCAAAATATATGAATAACAATGTACATATTGTTGCATTGAAACACTAATTTATGTAAACAATAAATTAAAAGAATGTATATGAATAGAATTGTAATCATATTTCAACAAATGTATTTCATTTTTACATTTCATATTTTCATACCAAGAATTTCAACAAGAATTTTCTTTCCGATGAACTTTACTTTGTTAAGTAAAAGATTGGATGATCAAATATTGATATAATGTTATGGAAAGGGAATAATGGCATATTGCCAAAGACAGTTTTAACTATGAATTATGTAAAACATGTTTTTATTTATGATGTATGCTCAGTGAGGATATATAGTGAGCTGATGAAGATTTGTTTTTAGAAACCAAAGTAAAAAAGGTGACACAACAAGGAGTTAAAATATTACCTGAATAAGCATGAATTCAAGGGACCATAATAATTTTTTGTCACTCTTACAGTTTTGCACTTTAGCAATCTTCAGTTAGGACTAGACCAGTCTTTCCCAAAGTGGGTGATAACGCCCCCTTGTAGGCACTGCAGGTCTCAAGTTGCGGGTTATAGTTTCGTTAACAATTCTCCGTTAATATACATGTATATAGGTCAAAATAATTAATTAATTTAATTTGAAAGTATAGTGGATTTTAATTATGTGAAAATATGGGGGCGCTAAAAAAATATTTATTCTCAAAGTCGGCAGTAGACAAAATAAGTTTGGGAACCACTGGTCTAGACAATGACTTTCGCTTATAAAGGTTTCTGGCTTTTCAGGTTTGACTGTAATGGTACAATTAATAACAAGTAAATAAACTTACAGTAACTCCGGGGAATGGTGTAACTTCAGAGCCAGTAGCGATAAGAATGTTTTTGGTGTTAATTGTCTCAACACCTTTGTCTCCCTTCACCTCAACTTTGTTGGGGGCAACAATTGATCCCACACCTCTAACAAGTTGTACCTAAAAATAACATATTATACCTACATGATTATAACATTTTAACTTGTTGAAGTGCTTATTTATGGTTCAAATTATACATAATATCTTTGATGGTAAACATGCAAACATTAAAATATGTAGAATTACAAGTGTTGCCAGAGATTAGTAGTAAACATGGTGATTTGCAAAGTGTAACTGCCTTGATAGTATTATCTAACATCTGTATGGCTGCTGACATAACCTAATTTTTCAATTTAATAAGCCTCATAGATCTTTTTTGATTGAACACATTAAAAATTATATTTTTAGCATTAAAGATCATCTATAGAAGGATAATTAACAAGCCAACTAAAGATATTTGATAAGAAACTTACCTTGTTCTTTTGGAAAAGCATAGCAATACCGCCTGTCAATGCTTTTACTGAATTAACTTTGTATTTCATCATTGCATCAAAGTTGAAGGAAACATTTCCAACTTCAATACCGCGATGCTTGAAGTCATGTTTAGCCATATGATACAAATGTGAGTTGTGCAGCAGAGCTTTGGATGGAATGCAACCAACATTCAGGCAAGTTCCGCCTAGAGTTGGATCTTTCTCTACAGATATTGTCTGGAAAATAAAATACATTGCTGCAATATTATCAATAACTGTAAATAGTACCTTAGGATGAAAATATTTTCTTTGACTATTCATGTAAATATTATTAAACAATGCAGTATAGCAGAAGTGTAGCATTACCCTGCCATGGACTGCTTAGGCTCAGTGGCACCAGTTAGTGTATACATTGAGCCAGTTTTACAGTAGCACTGATTTTGAGTGCTACTGTAAAACTAGCTTATTGTACTGGTTTCATTTTAAACGAGGTATTATTGTATAATTTGTATGGAATAAATCTTTACCTTCATACCCAATTGGGCAGCTTTGATTGCAGCAACATAACCGCCAGGGCCCGAACCGATTACAACAAGGTCAGCTTCGTGAGTGGTGGCATAGTGTCTTGTAGCGATTCGTAAATTTCCACCCTATAACATAGCAACAAATTATACCCGCATATATTAACATAAGCTGTCTCTCTTGTTACAATGTAAATAAAAAGAAAATATTTTTTTATTTATTAAAATATAACAATAACCTATCAGACTTATAATTTGATATACATAACAAGAAATAACGAAACATGTATGAGTTTGACAGGCGGTCACATGTTGAAGGTCGATTTCAGGATGATTTATGTAAATATCTAATGAACCAAAAAACTAAAGATGACTTATTAAAATATCCTAATTAACACAATTTTTCGATAAAATTCTCTAAAATAGTTGGATACCAAGTCGTTGCATAACATTTTGGCCCACTAATAGAAATGTTTAAATGATAATGAAAATGTGTTAGACAAACCTTTACTGATGAAGTTGCAAGCTTAAGGAATTTGTAACCCATTTTTTTAATGTATTTTAAACAATTTTTTGTATTTTTTGAATATTTTTATAAATATTCGGAACCCTGGCGATCACGTCTAGACAGATACATTAAATGTCAACGTCAAAGTCACGAAAAAAATCATTCGATTATATTGTTGGCAATGTTGCTAGATATAAAATCGAATATGTGGAGGAAAATACTGCAAACAAAAAGTTTTATTCATTTCTTTATTAATTAGTGAAAATTTTTGTTTATCTATTTAGAGCCGGTTTTTATACGGTAGTATACATATACAATAGTACCATTAAAAAAATCACACAAATATTTATGATATGCATGCCAATTAAAGACACAAATTTACATCAGACATATTATTTACTAACAATATTTGTAATCGTGGTTTTTATACGTTAGATAAAGTTATTTTTATAACCAATTATTAAATTGATCTATCAGCAATATTATTTTTGCAGTGTAGTAATTAATATGGTGCGTAAGGTTTTTATATTCGGTATTTTTCTTTGTTGTACTTAAGTGATTACCAAGTAAAACGCCTTTTCCACTTAATTTTACATTTAAACTGAATTTAAGACAAGTTTCAGTGTGTTTCTTATTTAAACATAATTTTAGGTTATCGATTAGGTACCTTAACAAAAATACAAAAATTCTAAGACGTTGACAACTCAATTGTGGGCAACACTTTAATGCGCGCGCTGCTGAGATCGGAAGTTTGTTTATCAATCAAATCAACGGATTGGTACGAACGGTTGCGGTTGTGTTCAGTTCTTGTGTATACGCACTTGCTTCGTAAATAACAGTGATTTTTATATACAAAATTTTAAGTCAAAATATCGTTTCAGCAATTACATACATAATTAAAAATACAAGTGATATTTAATTTCGTCTTAGACAAGGAAATTGGCGGGATTTTTTATTTAGGTATGTACAATATGCTTTATAATCCAAAATATTAACGTATTATTTTGAATATGATTAAGCTTGTAAAATAAACACATTTTTATTTGATGTAAGCATTTTAAAAATATTGCGTTAGTTTACAACGATAGCAAATGAACATCTAATCTGGATGTAACATTATTACGTCTTCATCATTTTCGTCTAATTGAAGTAGTTTTTTTTAAATTATTTTAAGACAATATATATAAAAGTAAGATGTTAGATAAATTTTTAATTTTTGTTTATGTGTGTTTCAATAAAAAGTAGGTATTAATAATTAATATAAATCTGTTAACGTTTAATAGACGGTTGATACAAATAATTTCCAACATGTACCAATTTAAACTAAAATTAAAAAAATATATAAAATTGTTAAAGAGGTAATTAAAAACTTAATACAATTAATCATATAAATAGACGATAACTTCCATGTAAATCTAATTCATAGTACATAATGCAAACATTAACAAAATATAATATTCAAATTCCATTTACATACATTAAGGTGTAATGTAATTGAAATGTATATCCCCTTTTGTTTATAAAACGCATTCATGGCATGATATGACACACTTTTAGTGTCACATATATTTACATAACTTCCGCTTTAAATATTATCTGTATTAGATAAGTTCTATTAGTTATTTTATAGGAACACTAACAACATATTTATTAAAAAAAATCTGTGTTAATTCATTCGTCTTTAATGAATTTTATTCACAAAACCTTTTATGTAGTTGCAATAAACAATATTTAAGTGGGCTTAGCTAACATTGTGTTTTAGTTGCATGATGAGGAAATATATTCAATTTTAATAATCTTATATTTGACTTTATAAATTTATGTAATCGAAGCTCGAAGCTGGTTCATGAGGAAAAATATCGAAATCGTTCTAAATTTAAAAAACGCAAATATTATACCATGTAGGAAATCATTTTTTTTTCTCAGTAGGAAAAAGATAGGCTGATGATGTAATAAACTTGTTTCTTAGTATCGATTTCGGCTAAAGTTAACCGTCATCAGGTAGACCTTAACTAACATACACAAAATAAAAACAGAAAAAAATTACCCAGTTTTTTGCGTGTCTCCTAAGAATGCAAATTTCTTAGAAGAGATTTTTGAATCTATGAATAAATTTAATTATATTGCTTTTAATTACTTAAGATCTGAATATGAAATGCAAAATACTAACGGGTGATAAAATAAAATAAAAACAAACAAAAATATATTCCTCTTACATTGAGAGTTGTCGCTTTTTACATCATATTAATATTATTGAGAAAATTGGAGTGAGTGTATTTAGATGTCCATTTCTTTAAGGAAGGATAAAGAAGCCTCGAGCTGGAATGTTACCGGTTCACATAAAGGCAACATGTGTGTTTCGTAACTTAACCTTCAAAAATTCCTCGCACGCGCAACAGCACAATACCTTTTTAATTAAGATAAGATGCCTGAAGTGATGTCATCATATTTACGAGCGTACATTTTATGTCAACTTCCCGCGCAGTTTAATGACCGATGTGTCAAACTTATAATAAACAAACGTATATCAAGGTGCCTAATATCTGTATAATATGCCGAAAAAAATAGTATTTTTTCATGTTGCATATACTAAGCAATCATACGTGATTGTGTTAAGTTATATTATTTTTGTTTCAACGCTTGTTTATGTTTTCAAAATCTCTTGGTTTATAATTTACATTATATTTCAAAATACTTATGAAGTTAAGTTTAGAAGGTAATTAAAAATAAGAGGGCAAGGAGTAATACATCGCAATTTGCTAAGGTTCAGGATACCTTGTTTAAAAATGTAACAATAAACCATTCTACCATAACCACATCTTTAACATTCAAAATACAAACGAGTAACCTGATTTTGTTTTTCGCGCGTACTCCAATCAAATGGATAACTGCGTCAATTAATTGGTGATAACTTAATGTTGCTTATTACGAAAGAGAACATTATACCATCAGTAGGCTGATTTCGTTAAAGTAGAAACTTTACCACAAAGATATTTGTTGCGGCCTTGTGTAAAAAAGGCATACGAGAATAACCTACATTGTGCATAAAACTCGCTGAAAAAGTAGTGGAAAATATTACACGTTTGGTACCCGGCTTACTAACATTTAAGATTAAAATAGGTCAAGGTAACACTCGTTTATCTTCTGCTGTTTTCATTCCCTTGAAATGAAGTGTTGAAATGGGTATAATATACATCGAGATAGTGTAATAATCAAGTAATTAGTTAACAAGAAATCTCACGATGGATTTAGTGTAATAATAAACAAACCTATAAACAAGATGAGGAAACCTTTGAAATAAGGGGCGCAAACGACGTTTTGTTTTTGTTTCAAAGATTTACACAATACTAAACTCACAAGCAAATCAGTAAGCTTAACTCAAGGTTACCATTTTAATTGGCGCAAACTATGTAAAATTTTATTAGTGAACCTCAACGTCTTGGTACTTTTCAAAGCAGTTGTTATAAACATTTTCATATTTTAATAAAGTTTCAAAACATTGTCAAGATAAATATTTTAATTAACTTAGTAGGTATTTTAACGAGTAAGCGGACCGTATAACATAGTAACCGGATATTTATGTATTACTTCAGTTGTGTATAACTCTTAAGCGTAATATTGTACACATATTTTCTTAGTTTTGTTTGTTTATACACTGGACATAAACAGCGTTAGGTTTACACTAACATTACAAGAACATGATCCCCTCATTGTAGCGAGTTTCAAAGAGTATCGCCTTTCGTAAACAAACAGCCACCTCCAGTAAAACTTACAATAATCACAACAATGTACGTTATTACTGTGACGTATTTTGTTATTATTCACGATTGACTCCTTAACCACAATGTTCAAGCAAACCGAAAATAGAAAAATTAATAGTTTAATATTCCTTCTTTCTTCCTTTACAGTTAATTTGTTCGTCCAATAATTTTTGTGTCCTTCCAACGCAAAGGTTTTCTTAAACCTTTAACTTACACCAAATAAACAATGTTAGTATCTTGATATGACGAAACACAATCGAGGCGATCGCTATGTACACATCGAAATACACATTATGCATTTTAATTGAGTGCTGATTAATGAAACTACGTCAAGGCTTCCAAAAGGATATAAGATTTCACAACAGTCTTAATACGATTATTAATTATTATTGTAACAAAAGACTAATCGCATCGTAAGGTCCGCCCTACGACCGCTGCTCGTGTGGTTATAACCCACCATTATAATCCGGTTAAGTCTCGTGCCCCCTATCCGTCGTTCATAGTGAGTGCGCAATGGAACAGGTAATCCTGTTAGTTGGCCGTGACACGCCGGCTTCCATGATACGAGTACGTGCATTCAGTCCGGCCGCGATGTGCGACGCTAGGGCTCGCAACCCGGCCCCGGCGCCCGCTATACGGGAGAAGCTCGCCATATACGAAAACGGTATTCAGTTTGCGATGTCTACGATATTATCTCAAACATCCCTTATAAGAGTACAGTTCCACTACGTGTTTGCGATTGAAAGTGTTGGCCGTTGTGTTCGTTCTGTCAGGAACGTTTCACTGGCTAGTTGGCATTTGGAGCACGTGCTTGTAGCGATGGGTTAACATGACGAGCGCCATGTCCAGTGCTTTCACGCCCCGTGATTGTGATATCCGATCTCTTTGACACACTGCACCTGGCTAGTGTAAGCTGATCCGTATTGTGTCTTGCTATATGTACATCATGGTATCATAATAACGCTGTTCTGTTTTTGTATGTAGATGTAATCCTAGTTTGTTATTTTTTCTTATAAAGTGATGCTTGCCTGTAATAAATATCATACATATCTGTAACTCAATCAGAAATACTTCAATTTATCAAAAGCGAGACGTAAGAAATGGAAGTAAAACATGAGTAAGTATAGTCCTCCGAATAAGCACAGCATTCATTTATAACATACCATAGACTCAGATGTAATATGATAAGCATTGATTAAACACGGTATTAATAATCTTACAAGTGCACATCCGCCGCATTATAGTTAATGCGGCAAAACATTGAAATGCACTAATTACGTAATGTTTTCGGTGCACTAATTTTGTAACATTCGCGATTTTGTATTCGCTGAGTTTTGTGCAGGTGAAATCTCGCTAGTGGGTTGTGATGTAAATAGTTATACATTCGAATTGCGTTGTCTGCTGTCTTAATTTATATGTCCTCAAAACCAAAATGTTTATAGTCATTTTATTATCCATAAATTTATGAGCAAAGCGGTTAAGTAGCTGACGTATGACTTAAGAATATTTCGACGAAAATTAAATCCAATATTCAAAACCAAAATACGAATTTATTTTGCTAAAATCATACGCCCACCATATTATATTCTATACAGAAATTTAGTCTCAGATATCCACGATTAATGTCATACCTAAATGCTAAATGGTAGTAGCGAATTGATCGAAATATTGAAAGTGTTGGTTTCCGATGTCGTTTGTTTCTTTTCGAACCTTATTAGAGTAACATGATGTTAATTTAATTTAAAATAGTTACTCAATGTATAATAGATGTTAAGTAGGGTGTCGGCGGTATTACGGGTGCTGTACTAGTGTAATCGGTGCCTCATAGCTTTGTTGTCAGAACATAATGAACAATTGTTCCCAGGACAATCTGCGCACTGAGCGGTGGAGTGAATAGGCACTTATCTTTTTTGAGGCATTTTTTAACCTCCTGTATATAGTCTTTGCTTTTATTTCTAAATCTAGAAGTAAAAAAAGAGACAAATTTACAAAAGGATAGACAAATTAATAATTTCAATTTATTTATGAAGAACACGAAGAATACACTCATACTACTACTAAAGTAAGACGTAACCTTTAATTTATTATTTGTGAAGTGACTGAAAAACGAAATAATTGGATCAATTGTGATGAAGTTACCCCCTTGTTTATTTCAATTATTACAATCAGCGGTTGAGTTGTGAGATTTAAGAGGGTCCT